AAAAACGGCAAACTTCGCAAGGCTATATTATCCGCATTTTACAACATGTCGCAACGAAACTTTGGAACATTACTAATTTTGTGTTGCTCTTTCAAGCTGTGATGAAATTTTTGTCTAGCTCAAAATTTAGTCTATTAGGCTGCGTCCAGACTGGGTGCCCAGCACTGGTGCCCGGCACTTGTTTTGGCTCCCAGTTTGAACACGACGCTTTCAAATGAAATTGGGCACAGTGCCCAAGAACGGGCACTACCTCTAGAGGTAGTACTCAACAATGGCACTGTGCTCAACATGTTTTGTGAACCATTTTGAACATTGGGCACCAGTGCCGGGCACTCAGTCTGAACGACCCCTAATGCAAATGGTCCTTTCTGTCGGCGATTTTTCTCCTGCTGGCAAATGTGATCGAATGAAGGACATGCAAAAGACCAGAAACACAACATCGCCGACAAAATTGCCATTGTGAACCAGGCTTTCGTTAAAGCACAATCAAATTGTCACTAACCCAAAATACGACTGTTGGTATGTGCAATATTGCCATCATTCAAATGTAATATATCTTTATAGTTAAACCTCATGTGCCGAATTATGTCTTCACATGACTGGTTTTGTCGGTGGGATAAAATTATGTAAATAGTAATAAATTTAATCAACTTTCGCACTGAATAAGCTACTTCTTGTACCTCCTTCTCCAGGTGTATTCAAAATGGATCTAACTGGCACCGGAATGATGTTTGTTACTCCGATTGATTGGAGATACGGCGGTTACCACGGATGTTCGGGCAACACGCCTAATCAATATTCAGTGAGCTCCACAAAACAGGTGGTCAGCGGTCGTTGTGGTGGTTTCTGCGGCAGTTGTTGGGCGAGAACTTTATCTGTGAAGCCCGAGGGATGTTAAACGACTAAAGCCCCGGTGAAACGAGCATAAGAGTTGATGAGAGTTGGTAGTCACGCATTGTTACAGGGGACATTTCAAGCTCTAGATTAACAAAATAAAGGTTAGATAAGTGTTCCAACTATGTTTTAACTTCAATAGAATACATGATAGTGTTGGGAAAGCATTAAGAACAGCTGACCAAGATCACGTGACTGTCAACTCTCACGCACTCTCATTCTCGTCTCATCCGTCCTCGTTTGATACTTTTTATCAATGGCCCAATGCCATTGTTCACAACACACGTATTCAAAGCTTTTTGTCCCAAGACCTCCGACTCAGTCGCTTAAGAAACGTTTTAAGTATAGAGGAACCTTCCTGTGGAATAGCCTACATGACGAAGCTGTAAATGCTACATCAAAATATTTGTAATTATATCTTGTCTAAAAGTATGGATCTTCTATGGATCTTTAAATGGATATTTGTAATTGTTGTAATTGTAATTGTACTATGTAGATATTTTGGTATATGCACGATGGAAGAGCACATTTTGTGAAATGGACTCCGTGTGAAAATAAAGTTTTAATGATAATAATAACGTATTCATTTGACTGATTACTTTATAGGATATATCATGTTAATTACATAAATTTCAGCTTCGATTTTCTCGGCTTAGAGAACGTTAACGTTGATTTTTAAAATAACTTCGCCAATGAACTCATTAGGTGGGTCGTTTTTTAAGCCATTTAAAACACACGCAGTCAGAGTTTTGTCAGATATAAGACACTCGACTGTCGCATCGTCTTTTATATCTGATAAAGCACTCGTGCTTTAAATTGTTGAGAATGCAGATTTTTGTTGGTAGTTGCGAGCGATGATTTGTGACGTCAAGTATAGCCTTCGAAACGGACGATCAGCGGTAACTGCATTTAATATCAAATGCATGCTTTGAAATATGCTGTGACGCCACAAATCATCAAACATTTGTTTATTCGATACAGGCTTATGTACATTTCACAGCACATTACTTTCTATTACAAATTTCTATTATATGACATTAGTTATACTAATTTTAAATACAGTATATGATTACGTTGACAATACCGATGGGCGCTGAAACTTTCTTGGGCAGCTTTTTGTTCTCCTCCCGACTACACACGTAAAAACGCACAAGTTGTGACAGCAGACTTGTAGCAATGTTGTTCCAACAACTCGTCAACAGGATGTTGACGCACTGCTTGTTTCACGCTTGTTGACAAGTTGTAAACGGCTTGTTGACAACTTGCTACAAGGTTGTTGGGCTCAACAGACTCGTTACAAGTTGTTCCAACAACTTGCTATCGTCCTGGGGCCGGTTGTTCAAAGGTGGGTTAGCGCTAACCCTGGGTTTAAATTTAACCCGCTGTTTTAGTTTGTGTATTTCTGCACGTCTGTTTATTTCAAAACTTCAGAGAAGTGAACTCCTACTGATCCAGACAAGATCTCTGAAGAAATATTTCCAAATTTATAGACAAGCTGTCAGGAAGTTTGCTTTGAATTTTAGGTTAACCTAGGGTTAAGCTAACCCAGCTTTGAACAAGCGGCCCCTGCAATTCAACAGCATTATTACAACTAACAGCACAAATTACAGCACCGTTACAACTTGTTGACAACCTTGCTTTGACAAGCATGTTGCGAAAACATCTTGTTGACAAGTTGTGAGATTTGTACGTGTGTATAGGCCAGGAAATACTATTAGTGTACTGCCATCTTAGTTTATTCAAATCCATTCATTCTCTGAGGAGTGACGACAACATACCATACACATAACACACCAATAACGTGTACAAGACAAATCCTACCGTAGCTGCAAAACTTCACTACCAAAGACTATACCATTGCCATCGATCTGTTCTTGATGCATGTAGAAAGCATAATACAACACACATACACATCAAACCGTAAACTTGTACTGGGTACTGTCCGGCAGTAGTAACACGACGGACTTCTGGTTCACCCAGACTAACTTGGTCTGTCTGAGATTCACTGGAGTGATTTTCACATCCTTTGACACGGTTGTAGACCGAATACACTTGATTCCTGAGCCGAGTACACCGAACAGCGAGGAACTGGCCTAGCGAACGAGGGAGAAAAGAAATACGTACATTATACAGCTCACTCCAATCGATGTATTGCACTTACTTATATTACCTACTAAGCCTGGTTCACACTAGCAATTTTGTCGGCCATTTTGTGTTTCTGACGGATGCAAATGAGTGAACTCGCACACAAAAGTATAGAGTCGCTTTTCAGAAGTAAACAATTCTAAGTCTTTTGCATGTCATTCATTCAATCACATTTGCCAAGAGGAGAAAAATCACCAACAGAATTGCTAATGTGAACCAGGCTTAAGGCTGGACTATTTATCTTTACAACAAGTCAATTTCACAATAATTGTGATATTACTTTCCCAACTATGTGTTTATCCTAACCCACCCTTTCCTTGTGGGAGGAAACTGGAGCACTCGGAGAAAACCCACGACGTTCGGCAGAGCATTGACCGACTCCGTAGCGAGAATCGAGTCCACGCTCTCAGAGATGACAGGCGCTTGCTTTGACGACTTCGCCACCATAATACAACGGACGAAAGCGCAAACAGCATAACTTCCCAATTGATATCCTCGCTGATATAGCCTGAGCACGACGGTCAAATTTAGCAAATGTTCTCCCATATTGTCAGCGGACATCTCGTAAAAAATTTGCAGCTTTGTGTAAAACGCAAAGCTTTCAATTTTTCATCGGACGTCCGCTCGAAATATGAGCCTGCTGTACTGGGAGAAAATTTCCTGAATACTACCAGCGTGGAGTGTCAGGCTCTATTTTACATTCAAGGAAGGGAAAGAGAGTTAAGCCGATAAGAATGTAAATGCAAAGCAACCTACCTGCCAAAAGTTAATTTTCGCTTCTTCGTATGAATAAGTAGCCAAGAGTTTGCTATCTTTTGAGAATTGTACGGCGGTGATTGCTGATGAATGAGCCGGGATCACCTGATGGAGTAACATGTATATATTGAGGTCTTGCTGTCACGCGGGAATATTACGTCATACTAAGAAATCACGCGAGTTTGGGTGGCATAAATAACCGACAGCAAAGGAAACGACTGTCTGAATTTGTATCATTCTGAAGGATGTGAACGAGTGGATGAGTTATGCATGTTGAGATGAGAGTGCATCGGTGAGACATATACTCTGAATATTCATAACTTATTTACTCGTTCACATGCATCAGAAGGAGGAAATCGCACTAGAAATCGCAGGAAAAATTGCAAGTGTTAACGGGCCTTTAGATGGATGACGGAACGGATTCGGATTGAGAACGTGGACCTTACTGTACCTGTTCCTTGGCAGAGCGTAGTTCGTACATTGTGAGCTGGCCAGATTTAGAACCGACAGCTAGGCGACGTGTATTGGAACAATAACTGATCATGTGGAATCTGAAACGGAAATTTATAAATATACATTTACCAAGTTTATGTTTTTTGTTTATTGTAATATCATTCAATAGAAGGGATGCAAAATTTCCAAAGCGCGTTGTTCACTTCTTCAGGCCAGATTTTGATTGACCTACACACGTAAAAATCTCACAACAAGATGTGTTCGCAACAGGCTTGTAGCAAGCTTGTCAACAAGTTGTAACAATGCTGTTATTTTATCGAGTTGCTACAAGGTTGTCACTCACAACTTGTTGAGAAACTGTTGAATTGCAGGATGATAACAAGTTGTTGGAACACTTGTAACACGTCTGTGGAGCTCAACAACCTTGTAGCAAGTTGTCAACAAGCAGTTGACAAGTTGTTGAAGCAGCATTGCTACAAGTCTGCTGCAGGTTTGTTACAACTCGAGAGTTTTTACGTGTATAACATGAACATGGTGGGGTTTTTTTTCCAAAATAAATTAACGAAATCATACATACTTGAAAAGCGCAGGGAATATCTCCATCAAACCGCGTTCTTTGAGGTGTCTTGGCTCAATGCAATGAACAAGTATCTGTACGACCTGGAAAAAAACCAAAAAAGTGATTGATTGAGTACATTACCCAACAAAGGATTATTATCCAACAAAGTTGAGAACGTTAGGATAGAACCACCAGATCGAACGGAGACAGATTTTATAATTTTAAATGTAGAACTGAACGTTATAAAAATAGTCCAATTGTATATGGAATTAATAGATTTAACCAAACTTTATCTTAGAAGTACTTTATTAGAACCGCGTTCTTTGAGGTGTCTTGGCTCAATGCAATGAACAAGTATCTGTACGACCTGGAAAAAAACCAAAAAAGTGATTGATTGAGTACATTACCCAACAAAGGATTATTATCCAACAAAGTTGAGAACGTTAGGATAGAACCACCAGATCGAACGGAGACAGATTTTATAATTTTAAATGTAGAACTGAACGTTATAAAAATAGTCCAATTGTATATGGAATTAATAGATTTAACCAAACTTTATCTTAGAAGTACTTTATTAGACTTGGTTTTTAATCCTAATTCAAATTTTGTAAATGGAGTAGTGTCAACTAATTCAATTTTGTTAACAATTGTTGTAATTCACATGATAATTTAGTAATTAGCTATTGAATGTGAAATCTTTAAATACAATAGACAATTCCCATTATAGACTAATTTTAAAACTAAGCAAGGAGATGCAAATAAATCACGACAGCTAGAAAGAGCATACTGAAATTAGTAAAATTACAAAGTTTGGTTGCGAAATGTTGTAAAATGAGGAAAATATAGCCTTGCAAAGTTCGCAAATTTTGTATACTTTTGTTTTACGTGCAGAAATTCCTACCACATTTGGGTCGAAAATGGTAGCAATTTCTGCACGCAAAACAAAAGTATACAAAATTTGCAAACTTTGCAAGGCTATATTTTCCGCATTTTACAACATTTCGCAACCAAACTTTGCAAATTTACTAATTTTAATATGCTCTTTCTAGCTGTGGTGATTTATTTTTGTGACGGTCCTTTCTAAATCATGAAGTTACCTCTGGCAATAATTTAATGACTTCTTGTTGTGTTTTTTCAATCATCAGTTCAAGAACTCGCAGAATTTCTTTCTTCGAGCGATGTAGAGTGGACGAGTGCTGAATGTCGGCTGAAGAGGGCTGGTGACGAACATGACTGTAGACCGCAATGGCTGCTGGGGAAGCTTGGTTGAATGACAACGAGGCTTGCGCTGAAGAACTGCGTGCTACCTACCAATGGAATGATAATTGTATCAGTGGGGGTAGAACTTTACAGCGCATATAGCGCAGCAATTTAATCATAACTTGTAGCTCAGACCGGAAGAATTAAAATATGCATATCAAAATAGTTAACCGTTCAATCACCCATTTGCGAATCATTCATCTAAACACGTATAAAAACGCACAAGTTGTAACAAACCTGCAGCAGACTTGTAGCAATGTTGTTCCAACAACTTGCTATCAGGATGTGTTCGCACTGCTTGTTCCCAGCTTGTTACGACAACTTGTCGACGGCTTGTTGACAACTTGCTACAAGGTTGTTAAGCTCAACAGACTTGTTACAAGTTGTTCCAAGAACTTGTTATCGTCCTGCAATTCAACAATTTGTCAACAAGTTGTGAGTGACAATCTTGTAGCAACTTGATGAAATTACAGCATTGTTACAACTTGTTGACAAGCTTGCTACAAGCCTGTTGCACACGCATCTTATTGCCAAGTTGTGAGATTTTTACGTGTGTACTCAATTGCGAAATAAATGATGATTTTCACCAACCTCTTTTGCTAAAGTGGTGATAAACACCAGTGGGCGTGCCGTAGAAATCAACGTCAGAGCATGTCGCGCTGATCTTTGTGAATCTGCAGCACTGGACAACGGTAATCCCTTTGAGAATGAAGCCACGTGACTCCTATTATCTGGACACAGTTCGAGAAGGGCCATGAGGACTGCTGACACATCCATGTAGGGCTCCCACAAAGGAAAACCTCGGCCTATGAGGTCGATGGCGGCTCGTCGCATGGAGGTATAGGAGAGGGTGCGAGGGGATTGGGACTGAGATTTGAGTAAAATGAACATCAGAGCACGGCCGGTGAGGTAGACGACACGCGAAGGAAGCAACAACTCACCTGGGGAAAATAGAATCTTAACTTTAATTACACTGGAAAGGTTCATTAGTTCTAAACTGTTCTCCTAGAGGACTAGTAAGAATCATACTTTATTGGCTTTAGTGTCACAACAGGAGAAAACCTAAACTAAACTAAACTAAACTAAACTAAACTACCTAAATGTTATTCTAAGCCGCATTTTAGTAACTCTGTGTTTGAATAATTAGACCATAGGCTCAGTAAAAAAATTATTTTAATAAAATTAAAATAAACATTATATTAAAATAAATTTTTACTAAGCGTATGGTCTAATCATTCAAACATAAAATTACTTAAACTTTGGTGAAGTAAAACAGGAATAACTCGTCGCATATACGACTGAGGTGCAACGTTTCCTCGAGTAAACATGATAGGGGGTATGGCCAAAATATATAAATCTAAATTCCTAAGGATCACCTTGAAACCCGATTTTTTTCTGTCCGTTGTTCGACGTTTTTTCCGCTTTGTTATTGGTCAATGTTCCAAGATCTTTCTGAAACTCTGAGCCAATCACAGCTAACATTATAATCGACGTTGCCTGGCGACGACTGGCGTCATACTGGAAGAGCTTTTTGGCGCCATCAAGGACATTGAGAACGTCCTCGGAAAAGTCGTCTTCGGTCACTGAAACTCCGCCAGAATCTGAAAGATCTAGAGGAATGAGTTCTGATAAACATTTACAAGAAAACGAACTAAAAACTACACTGGTGACCAGGCCTGGTGACAAGGTTTAATGTAGACCTAGAAAATATATTTGTCTTCCTGGCAACAAAATTTAAAAATAAAAATTTGTAATATGCATATGTAATTTTGAGACGAACCTGAGTCAGAATCACTGGATTCCATGAGAATGCTGGAACCCTCGATTTCTTGAGGCAGGTATTGGACCCAGGTTTCCACGACTTTCGCTCGGCCTTCAAAGTTAATGCGCCGTAATTCAGTCACCAGGATAGCTTGAGCGGCTTCACGAATCTAGAAAAAACAATTTCGGTATAAAATACACCACGTTAAAATGCTAACAAATTGCTAGTGCCTGCGATCAGCTCACCTCCAGACAGCGGTCTTGCCATCTCCTCGCCAACACATGCAACAGAGGCGGTCTGTAGCACACCATGTCTAATTTATCCGGCAACAAACAACAATACAAAGTCGCAAGTCGACTCCAGCCCGCTTTGATATTCGCGCGAATCATGGAACCGATAGCAACACTCGGGTTTTCATCGTGAGACGTCGACTCCATTTCGGGAACTTTCGTAGTATTCTCGCTACGCCGTGGGGAAGTCGGACCTTTGTCGAAACGTGGTAAGAAGCTAATTTGAGCCATACTCATGAGTGTATTGGTTAAAGCGACAATACTCAGTGAATGTTGAGTTGTCAGCGCAGAACAAAATTCCCAACGGGATTCGAAGAATTTCATGTTCCCAGTCACACTGGTACCCACGGCCGAGTCATGGACGTTTCCTGCGATCAATACAGTTTCATATTATTAGAATTGAGCTGGAATACGCTGAACAGATCTCAAAGTTCTGGACTAAACTGAGCTTAACAGATCTCAAGGTTCTGGACTGAACTGACCTAAACAGATCTCAAGGCTCCCATAGTTAGTATAGGTAATCATGCGATGGCGAGTACAATTAGGGATTAATAAGAAGATATCACAATCTTTCCTTAACTTCCTTTAAAAATAAATTCAAAAATTCTTGGTTGACTTAAATAATAAAATTGAGTGCGTCAGTAGATTTAGCTGTGGTAACTCTACGCATATAGTTGTTTGCTGCTGTATCACTTATTCATCGTAAGCTGTTTAGAATGATGCAGCATCAAGTAATTCTGGGATGATTAGAGGCGCATTGGATATACCACAGTTAATGAATATACAACCTCTAGTCCTCGGCTCGTATAACCAATACAACACATCTGCTCATGTTGTAAATAGTTATCATATCTTACCGCCTGATACATTTTGCGAGGAGCCCGACATTCGAGCAGAGTTTGAATACCATCCAGGCACAATCAGGCTAAGCTTCCTGTGCGTCAGGAGACCAAATGAAACTGGTTTGACCGGTTGAAGAAGTCCAAGTCTAGAAATACAGGTTTCGTCAATTTCAGAATCCAGTCCCCAAGAGTGCAGACACGAGACCAGAAGCTGAGCGCCATCGTGGATTTCTTCCAAAAACTTGAGGTGTGGACTTACTTGATTGCCAGAGGTGAAGGAAACATGTTTTGTGTGGTCTTTGTTTACCTTTCGCGTGTTTGACCCAACTAAAAAAATACATGTTTAAAAATCGTAGTGCTTAACCTTAATCTTAACCATAATGTGTTTTCATTTACGAATGGTAGGTAGGTAGGTAAAACTTTATTTTACTACGCTAACCCCTACAGCAAAAGCTGATTTCCAAGGGGGGCATAGCATTAAATTCAAATTTACATTAAAAATTTAGAAAAGTTAAACATACAAACACAGAAACTTACAGGCAGTTATTACAATTACATACATAATTAAATAGATAATAGTACATACAGGACATACATACATACATAATAGTAAATACTAATAGATTAAATAGTCAAGGTAAATATGGGTTTGAAAACTCTAATAATAGCCACGTGTCATACGTTTTTATTGAATATAGCTAGTGATTCTTTTCCTCTTAATTCATTTGGGAGACTATTCCACAGTTTAGCCCCTCTATAGCTAAGACTTTTTTTAAGATATTCAGCCTTAGGCTTGGGCAAATGGAGTTTAGTGGAAGAGCCCCGCAAATTATAATGCTGGGAGGAAGACGTCTTTTGAAATATGAATATGAGTTTATCCAGGGTGCAATAATTCGCGTACTTACGTACCAGAGGTACGCCAATATTACGGTCGGGTACTTCTTTGTTTTCAGTCACGTACCACGTAGGTCTTGCTATCTACGTGCTTACATTTTGCTGGTACCACATGGCCTTACCAAGCCTAAGGTATTCAATACCGTATATGTGTAAGTCTGACATGTCTTGACATGAAACATGATTGGACTGAGGAGACTAAAGAATGTTGGAGTCGACTTGTAGTGTTTGCTCCTTGTAGTTTTAAGTCACTGAATGAATACCTTTCAGAATCCTGTACTTTATGTACTTCATTTTAAATCTTAAGTACACCTTGACTCTTAAGTTTCTACCAGCCCAAGTACGTGGCAGTAGCCATTGGAGTACCAGTCAGGTACGTGAATCATCGCACCCTGATTTACCAGTTCTTAATTAAGTATTTTGGATTACTATATGGCCCATTTTTTATCAGCCTTGGGAAGAAGGTCGCTCGAAATGTCGAAGTTTTACTTGTATTTTTCATGTTGTTGAATCCCTCACAAACCACAACTTTCTGACATCAAAAGAACTTTAACAACTCACGTTTCTGCGTCTTTGTTTCCTCGACAAGCAGATGACAGATTAATGCTTCCATATCAAACAACATGACATGAATTTCAGATTCGTTGGGTCCTGTCTTGAGAGACGTCACACGCACTGGCACACTTTTACTCATCTCTTGATAACTATCAACTACATAGTGAAGAAGATATTCAGGCCCACACGTGAAAATCTCACAACTTGTCAACAAGATGTGTTCGCAACAGGCGTGTAGCAAACCTGTCAACAAGCTAGTTGTATCAATGTTGCCATTTCATCAAGTTGCTACAAGGTTGTCACTCACAACTTGTTGGCCAACAGGCAAGGACGATAACAAGTTGTTGGAACAACTTGTTAGAAGTCTGTTGAGCTGAATAACCTTGCACCAAGTTGTCAACAAGCCGATGACAACTTGTCAATAAGCTGGGAACAAGCAGTGCGAACACATCCTGTTGACAAGTTGTTGGAACAGCATTGATATAAGGTTTGTTACAAGTTGAGCGTTTTTATGTGTGCAGTACACGCGTACAAATATCACATCTAAATCACATATGGTAAGTCTGCCAACAAGCCATCAACAGGTTTTATTTATTTAGCTTTGCTAACTAGGGCAGAGTCACCACAACAGCATGTGCCAATTACTGTGGGCCCTTTTCCTAACCAACCCTGTCAACTTTCCTGTCAACTGCTTATCCCAGGTCGTCAACAAGTTTAGAACAAGCTGTTAACAACTTGCAACAATCTTGTTGATATTATCAGACTTGTAGCAAAGTTGTTCCAACAAATCCGATACAGTCATGATATAACAATATTGTTACAACCTTGTGTCGTCAACCTTGCAACATTCTTGTTATATCATGACTGTATCAGACTTGTTAGAACAACCTTGTAACAAGTCTGATAATGCCATCAGGCTTGTTCCAACTTGTGAACAGCTTGTTCCAAACTTGTTACAACAACTAGGATCAAGCAATGCGAACACAACTTGACGACAACTTGTGAACTGATTTATAACAACTGATTTAAAAACTGTTAAAGATGTTAAAATCTTCTACGGTATCAAAAATAGATAACAGCCTAAGTTCGCATGTTTGGGGAAAATCAACAATCCTTCCCATCATACCTGGCGAACGTGCAGCCGCTCGTTTTCGTAGTCTGGGACTTGACGAACGAGTTCTCTTGATTTTTCTCAACGACATTTGTGACGGCATTTTGGGAATGTTTGTCGCAATGTGCGATAATTTTTTCGTGAACACCGTTCGAGACCTCAGACTGCCGTCCGTACTGCTCTTGCTGGATTCATCATCAAACGCATTGAGGATATCAACAGCCGCATCACCCGTTACATAGCGGTCCAAATTACCTGATGGACACAAAAGTAAATACTACAATTAAACCCGTGAATCTCGCGTGTTCGCCCGGGACAGATCTACCGAGGGAGTACGCACCCCACCTAGTAGTGTCTAGCACCCCCCCCCCCCCTTTAGAGAAGTCCAGCACCACCCTAAAAAATCTGCTTGACCATACATTTTTTGCTTTTCGAATAGCCATTAGCGGAACTTCTAGAAACTGTTAGCACGTGTCGATTTATTGAAACAATTTAATTGATTTGTGAACTCACGAGAAAATACTCAGAATGCTTTAGCTAAATATCATGGTTAAATATGTACACATGATATGACCATATTTTCAAATATACAGTACTTTAAATAAACAAAAAATAATGGTAATGCTGAGATATTAGCGTTGCAGACTGCAGGGGAGAGTGGACAGCAAGGCTCCCTCATGCACCCCCCCCCTCCCCAATGAAAAACCTGCACTCCTCCTGGCAGATGAGGCTAGATCCGCCCCTGGGTGATGCAACTGCCTGGAAATGGAATAAGAAATTGTTCCAGGCAAAACTTACCAGTTTCAATCTGCCACACATATACACTTCCATCAGACAGACCAATAATCAGAAAGTCCTCTGCTGGCTTCCATCTTACAGTTTGTACAGGGAACCTGTGGCATGACGCAAGCAGGAGACAGCGATGATCTCGTAAATTCAACAATGCAACGGAGTGATCTTGAGCTATTGAGCACACGCAGTGTTGAATACGGATCTAGAAAATAATAAAACAAATACCGACGATGACACGCCACAATTTCTCAATACTGGAGCATCAATTTAGTCTCATACTGGACCTCTGGAAGAATAGTTTAAAGTTGATAGAGTTACTAGTATGAATAAAGTAAGTTTAGTTTAGGTTTCCTCCTGTAGTGACCTCCTGGGTCAATAAGACTTACTGGACCTCTAGGAAGAACATTTTAGAACTGATAGAGCTATCCAGTATAAATAAAGTTAGTTTAGCTTAGGTCTACCTCTGTAGTAATACAGGACCACTTTCGGATGACCTTTGCTGAATCTCAAAGAAGAACGGTTTAAGGCTGATAGAGTTACCCAGTGTAAATAAAGTTAATTTAGTCGGGAAAAAAAAATATGTGGGTTTCCGGTTTCCCGACCCTACCTAGCTTTTGGACGTCGAAATCCCGACCCTAAACTTTTTTATTGGATCATGCTTGTAAGTGTTTCCACTTAGAGGAAAAAGTTTGTGGAAAATTGAAATTTGAGGCAATATTAGGGAAATTTATCTTTGGATGTGGAAGCACTAACTAAACAAAATGGCGTCCGCTTATTCGGAAAATTAAAAAAAAAAGTTTAAAAAAAAAGTTAAAACCGACCTACCCTACCTAAGTTTTTATAAGAAGAAACCGGAAACCCACATATTTTTTTTTGGCCTCGCCATCTACTTACACTGCATTTTGGAGGCGTACACGTCAACCTCAATATTTCACCGCCATTGGCTGAAAATGACGTCAGAAGAGCACCGGAAGTAAGGTTCCATAACTTCACTGTGAAATCCGCTGATCCCGACACGAAATGCTCAGGTGTGTAGCGGTCATATTCTCCATATGGATAAAGAAGACAGGTGACCTTACTTCGATGACCGATCAGCTTTTGATATTTTGGCCAAGCTATACATAAAGATAGACGATAATATACTGTAAGCAATGCGAACATGCTCAAGTTCGTATGAATCTGGTCAGTCATGCGAGGCGCTCTTACCAGCAGGATTAGTATTGTCTTTCGTCAAGAACTGCGTTATTGCAGCTTTGGTTGCGGAGATTATAATGATCGATCCATCTTGACGGCCGCACGCAATCTTTCCTTGAGCTGCTAAAAATAGACTTGATGTAATCTTCACAGGTTTTTGCCCACCATCCTAAGAAAATAAAAATTAATGTTGCTTAATAATCACATGTCATATATAAATAGCATTCATGTTAAAACTGAATTTATTAACTCTATCAGTTCTAAACTATTCTCCCTAGACATCCAGAAACACACATCCTTTATCGATCCAGTGTTACTACAAAAGGAAACATAAACTATAAACTACTAACTGTATTGATAGCTACTGAATAGCTCTATCAGCTCTAAACGGTCCCCCTAGACGTCCAGTACGGTCATCAACCTTACTGTTACTGCGAGAAAATCTTGCGTTATCTGGTAGAGTCAAACACGGTGACACTTCTCACATGCAACAGAGGCACATTTATAAACAGAAAACTTCATGTTAGCAGAAATGAACCCTGTTACAGAGCTGAATGGCACATGGACTAACAACGATCTTGCTCACAAAACCCACTAGTATTTTCGCACTCTTAAGTTGAGTAATAATGTGCTTACAAAGTAACCATACACACAAAAAAATAGTACATCCAAGGTGTAGTAATATCTCATTTTGCCTACCAAGGAATCGAGCAAGCCACAAGGTTTGGTAGAGGATTTCCAAACATCACTATAACTGCTTGTTTCACTGCAAGGTATAGCTAAAAAAGTAAAAAGTTTCTATATGTTTATAGTTTTTTTAAAAATGAGCATAGTTCTCATATGCGAAAATTTGTTAAAATTAAATCATTTGTCAGAAACATAGGTACAGTAGCCCATAAAACGTATTTGGTTTCCGAGTAGATATACCAAAAGCATGGATAGTTAAAATAGTGTCTTTAGTATTTTTATTTAGTGTTTTAGGGGTTGGTTGCTCAAAATTGGATTACAAGATTTTAACAACATAAAACGCTCACTGAGTTTCCAGCGATATACATACCCTTTTCTAGATATATACCTAATAATAATAAACGAACGAACGAATGTATTCCTTCCACTCGTGAGCTCATTTACATTCGTTCGTTCGTTTATTATTATTAGGTATATATCTAGAAAAGGGTATGTATATCGCTGGAAACTCAGTGAGCGTTTTATGTTGTTATTTTATTTCCTGAGTACGGGTCTTCGACCAATTTCATATTGTTACAAGATTTTAGTTTGTGTATCTCTGCACGTTTGTTTGTTTTTCAAACTTCAAAAAAGTAAATGCCTATTCATCCAGACAAGACTTCTGAAGAAATATTTCCAAGTTTATAAACAAACTGTCGGGATGTTTGCTTTGAATTTGACGTTTACATAGGTTCATAATCCAGCTTAGAACAACCGGCCCCGATCACGTGTGAAAGATGCGCTAATTATCGATCAATTAGCCATTCCGAAGTTGATGAGAGGACTGGCGACGAGTATTAAAAAGTGCCCAAATTAAGAAATGAACCAAATCACTAAAAAGACCACCTCAAAATTAGTAAGTATACAAAATTTCAAGACGTTTACCTTTCGAATAATAAGCTTTCGAAAATTGTGAAATTACTGATTAAAAGATAGTTTTTGGGACGCGCGTCCCAAAAACAAAAATTACAACTTCATAGTAAATAGAGAGGTTAAGATACCCCGGTTTCGGTGTACGGGTACGAGTAGTGTCATCTTGTTTTACTTATGTCTGTAATTCGATCATACTTTTTCTGTTTTCTTGCAACAGACAATAATATAATGCGAAAAATGTGCACCTTAATTACGATTAAAGGTACAGACATCGACGAAAATATTGCTAACCAAAATCATGCTACCCGTACACATACACCGAAACCGGGTATCTTAACCTCTCTAATATCACGATTTTCGAAAGCTTATTATTCGAAGGATATTCATGTACACGTCTTCAAACTTTGTATACTTACTAATTTTGAGGTGGTCTTTTTAGTGATTTGGTTCATTTCTTAATTTGGGCACTTTTTAACACTCGTCTCCAGTCCACTCATCAACTTCGGAATGGCTAATTACGACGTCGCGTGTAATTTCATGATGCAACAAACATCCGATGACGATGCGTTCAATTAGTGATGTAACAAAAAGCGCGCGAGCAAATTAACCATAAATTGCATTTGTATTCAAAGCGCGAGGACGTATACGTTTGCAACAGAGAGATATTTTATCTGGATTTATTGTCGTTTGTGAATTTTAAGAAGAGAAATGAGGGCGGAACAAGAAATATGTTTCTCTGATGAGAGTGAAAATCTTTCCGAGAATTTTGAGAACGATTTTGACAATGAAGGAATACTGGAAGACAAGTGGATATTTCCAAAAGCGAGTGATCATCTTGGAACAGTCCTACGTGTAGGTGTGGTGCGTCCTCTTTCGCCGACGTTAAAAGTACATTCTCCCGATAGCGTGTTTCCGGGTGTCGCCATGCTTTACGAAGGATTTGATGACATGCGCGAGTGGAGAAACACCATCGAGTTTGTTCGTTTCTTTGCGCAAAAAGGAAAGATGTTCAACAGTCGACATCACTGGGACATGCGCACTAAGTTCTTAGAAGTACGTTTAAGATGTCTGGACAAGATTGTCGAAGATCCTTGCGGAGTTCACCGTAAGCCCGTGGGAGGGTTCTTTGTACGTGTTCCGCTGGCAGTGCAGAAAGCTTCGGAGGACGAAAGGAAGAAGACGGAGCTTGCACGTGAACGGGAAAACACTGTAAGAAAAGAACACGTGATGGATGAAGCTTATTTCGGGCAGCAAAATTTTGCAAAGAAAGAACTTCCTGATAATATCGTAGGGAAACGTTGCGTCAAGGAACAAATTAATGCTCAGCAACAAACTGGGATTAAAGAAGAGAGTAACGTGGATATAAAAAATTGTCCAACACACCGAATGCTTAAGCACGGAGACAATATTGGAAATAATAACTCATTAAACGTCGAATTCTCCTCTGTGCGAAAGGACTCCACTTCGATGAACAACACAAGAATTAAGTCCAAAGGAAATCAAAAGAAAATTGATATTTGGATTCCAAATCCGAATAATTGTGTTGAGGATTCATCCATGTATATGTTCGAGAGTTCTAACTTGAACAATGAACATGCTTTGTCAACGATGGCACCTGAAGTGACTCTTGAAATGTTGCGAGAACAACGTCGCCTTCAAAAAGAGAATGATCGTGAGAATATAGAAAGTAGTGAAGACGAGAAACTGAAACGTGAAAGTCTTGAAAAAGGATTAAACTTTGAAAGTCGGCGTGAAACATCCGGGACAAGAGTGGAATGTGGACATTTTCCTACAAGCAATGATAACGTACAGGACCTTAAAGTGATCGGAAAATCAGTTGCGAGTTTTACTCGCGAACTTGTAGACAATCATAGTTCAAACTCGAACAAGGATAACGAAAGTGTAAATATAAAGAAAGGACTGAGCTCCACCTCGGAAACTTTATCCTGTAAAGTTGAAGAAGAGATGGTTTTGGAGGACATTAGCGATAAGGATTTTGTTTCACATGTAATCCTACCTTCATCTTGCAAGTTCGAGCACACGGCTGTTGAGGACGTGCAGTCGGCTACGGCAAGAAAAGTCTCGACAACCGAGGCGTGTGGAAATTTGGTTAAACAGAATACTGCTGAGCGACCTGAGCGACGAACATTATCAAGGTTGCGAAGAAGAATAAGAAATTTGTTCTCTTGTTTTACAAGGAATCAAGTCACGCCTGTGGATATTTAACTGCCGTGAACAGTCATTACTGGATGGACATTTAGTTAGCGCATGAGAACAACTAAGAGCTTATGGTTCTTAACTATTAATGCATGTTGGAACTGAAAGATGACTAGTCTTAGGGTAAGCAGTGGCATGATTATAGTTATGTTTTAGGGTTAGGGTTTGGGATTAGGGTGGGAAGACGGATGGGTTAGGGTTAGGATTGGGGTAATGGTTGCGGTTAGGGTTAGAGTTGGGTTAGGGTAGGTTGGGGTGGGTTAGGGTTGTTGCTGGGGTGAGAATTGGAGTCTGTATATAAACATGTAAATATTTGAAATTATATTCTTTTGTTATAAATATGAAAAAAAATCTAAAAAGTCCTGCAATACATCTTTGTCTGCGAGTGTTTAGAAACGTCGACTTATTTGATCCACAAGGAACAGCAACCGTGCAACAAACATGGCAACAATTCGTTGTTGTTACACAAAGTAGGAAACTGAAAAAGTATAAGCAGATTTTACGGATCGAAAGCTTTGCAGTAATAAATTTACGTGGTGTTTCCACAAACAAAAGTATTATATGTTTTATCGCCATGCAAACCTACAAAGAACTTATAAGCAGATCTTATTCCCATTTCAGACATAACGGTTTTTTGCTTTGTGCAGGCATGTATATCTGGTAAAAACGTAGAAGAAAAGAGAGTAATACTGTAGATGTGTATGAAACATTGCACACCTTCCAATGATTTCCCAAAACTTTCTTCATTATTCTCGAGCTTTTGTACGATCTCATCAATACGCCAAATATTCACTCTAAAACAATCAACTGATGCTCAAACAAAACAAGACAAATGGCTTCTAACTTAATACCTAAGTGTAACCTTGCTGTTTCTTGTGTATATTACCTTCCATTTGCATTTCCTTCAACAATCAATTTATGAAAAGGTTCTCGGCGGCCAAAGGAAAACATCATTCTTGAACCATTGAATGTTTTCTGAAAATACAGGTATAAATACAGGGTGTATAAAAACGAGACCGAGACCAATGTTGACAGCTTGTTGGCAGACTTTCTACAAGATGTAGGATTTTTACGCGTGTACAAGTACGCAATTTGAAGCCAATGTACACACGTAAAAATTTCACATCTTGTAGCAAGTCTGCCAACAAGTTGTGTTCGCACTGCTTGTCCCAAGTTGTCAACAAGTATGGAACAACATGTTGACAACTTGTAACAAGCTTGACGGCATTATCGTTCTTGTTGCAAGGTTGTTCCAACAAGTCCGACACAGTCATGATATAACAGTATTGTTACAATCTTGTGTCGTCAGCCTTGTAACATTCTTGTTATATCACGTTTGTATCAGAAGACTTGTTAGAACAACCTTGTAACGAGTCTCATGATAATACCATCAAGCTTGTTACAAGTTGTTAACAGCTTGTTCCAAACTTGTTACAACAACTGGGAACAAGCAGTGCGAACACAACTTGTCGACAGGTTGTGAACAGATTTGTAACAACTTGTTTGCAGACCTGTAACAACTTGTGCGTTTTTATGCGTACAATTCTGCTTGTATAGTTACTGTATAGACATGAATTTAAAGTCGTGGCACAATTATGCACGCCGTATTTTTATGCATACCTCTTGACAACGGTCTTGAAATGTGTGAATCAACTGAGGTTGACCATCCTCTTCCGATAATCGCACTGAAACTTGGCCTGCTTAGAAATTTAGTTCTCTATAAATAGCATGAAAATAAGTATTTCGAAAAATGTTTATAGTTCACTATTTACCTGGTACCACTTGTTTTTCTGGGCAGCATCTAGATAATTTGCAATGTATTTTGTTAGGACGGTCCGGCTTTCATACGTGTTAAATTTAACATCTGAATGAAAAGAGTGGTATTACATGTAAAAATATGGTACCTTTCAGGTAACTTGTACATATATGCTTTCCCTTTCTAAAAGATTTGGAGAAAAAAATGACACAGGATGCAATGTCTCAAGTTCTTTGTACATCCCCTTTTTCAGAATTGCAGCTGGCCAACGGACATTCTACTATCGTGCTGTCTCCTTATGGAACGAACTTCCAGAGAACATTAAATGTAGTTCATCAGTTAACATTTTTAAACATAAATTACGTAAATATATTTTAGGAAATTATTCATAGTAGCATTTAATTGGCCTTTAAAAATTTTTACATCTATACCAGTAATTAGTTAGTTAGAATTTCATGTTAGTACAGTATAACTTCTAAATTTTTTGTAAATGTTAATTGGCTCCGAAAAGCCCCGTTGCATGAGGACTGGGGAGAGTTTAATAAATTATTGTATTGTATTGTATTGCACACAGTGGAACTCTGTTAGTCAACAAAACAACATGCAGACTCTGAAAACGGTAGTCTTTGACTTTATACATCATTGTACAATATATATCTGTCGAATCTCAGTCTCATATTTGCGATTTTGAAAAAAATCGATGACCTTCGACTGGACAAAAAAAAAAAAAATCGGTGACGAAAAAAAAATCGGAAGTGGCCGTAAGACGAGTTTCCATTGTACTTTAAAGGTGTGGTTCAGCCTTTTGAATGATGGTTTTTAAAGCGCATTTCTGACCTTTTATAATTGAAAAACTAGGAAAATCAATTAATATACATAATTCAAGATCAGTAAACTCAATGTTTTTGACAATAAAAATGTTTTAAAATGTTAAAAACATTAAGTTTGCTGATCGTGCGTAATGCTTAATTGATTTTCCTAGTTAGTTTTTTCAATTAAAAGGGCTGAAATGCGCCTTAAAAACCATCGTTCAAAAGGCTGAACTGTGCCTTTAAGTTAGAGACTAAAGCAGCAGAATTCATTTCTAATGTAACCGGTATACTGTTGATCAATAATTTTGATGAGCATTTACCTTGGACCAAATAAGAACGCAGTTACTCTGGATGTAATCAGCTGCTGACCAGGTTGCACCAGAAACTGCAGGCATGGCTGTTAGAAACTGGAAGTTACTGACATCATACATCTGGAGAGAGATTGGTTCATGTTAAAGCCCTCTCTGATAAGATTCCAGCCACAGGGTTCTCGGCACTCGGGGACAAGGACTGCAGGCCCCAAGAAATCCGATCACAATAATGGCAAATCATACTTGTTCAAACAAGTCAAATGTATTATTAAATTGCTGATGTTGTGTTCCAATACCTGCCATTGTTTCGCTGACACAATAAGTATTGTTCGTTGAGAAAATGGATTGCATACAACGTGAAGTGCTTTGACTCCTGTCATCTGTGATAACATTTGATCATACATCGCTTCGGTTGCCTAAAAAAAAGAACTAATTTGATTATTCATTGATTACATTAAAGTGGCACTGTCATCAAAATTTTGATTTTCTTAAACGAAAATGCTCTTAAAACTGTATGGTAACTTGTTTTAAAGATTTTTGTTCCCATGTTTAGTTCTTGAGATATTTCATTTTGTTTGTAACCATGTGACGTCATTTACTCAATTACATATATAATGAGATATCAGTAATTGTTGTGTATCTTTGCAATTTTTTATCAAAATCTTTCGAAAGATGCGGCGCGTTTGATAATTCAACCTATAACGTTAAGCATACTGTTTTTTTTAAACAAATCCATCAAAAATAGCAAAGATACACAACAATTACTGATATCTCATTATATATGTAATGTAATTGCGTAAATGACGTCACATGGTTACAAACAAAATGAAATATCTCAAGAACTAAGCATGGGAACAAAAATCTTCAAAACAAGTTGTTATACAGTTTTAAAAGCATTTTCGTTAAAGAAAATAAAAATTTTGATGACAGTGCCACTTTAATTAACCTTGGTCAGATTTATATTTATTTAGATGTTTTTTGTACACATTCAACCCATTCTAGTAACCGCAGACCTTATTCTCAGGATTCCTCTTCAGTGGCCAGATTTTCACTGTGCCTGACAATGTAATACCCACAAGAACATCCTCTAAAAAAAAAAATTTGACAGCATGTTAACATTATTAGACATGATATTTTACTCGAATATATCCTGTAGAATGTGAGGCCCAATGCACGAGGGTTGATGAAGGGGTAACTGCTACATGTACTTAATTATCATACCTTGCCTTCGTGGAGGTCTGACCACACAAGCTGCAGCTAACCAATTGGAAGACGCACTTGATGACAAGGTATAGAGCACCTGTAAAAAAAACAATAAAATACTAAACGGAGTTCTGGCATTTGACAACGGAGCTCTGACATTTGAAAACGGGGCTCTGGCATTTGAAAACGGAGTTCTGCCATTTGAAAACTAAGGGAGTTTTGGCTTTTGAAAACGGAGTTTTGGCATTTGAAAACGGAGTTTTGGCATTTGAAAAGGGAGTTCTGGCATTTGAAAACGGAGTTCTGGCATTTGAAAACGGAATTCTGGCATTTGAAAACGGAGTTTTGCCTACCTCTAAAGTAAGAACATCAACAACATAGACATCAAGATAATATCCATGACATACTACTCTCCATTCTTTGTTACCACCAGTAGAAACATGAAATGGCTGAAATAAATGTGTAAGTTTAGCTCTACTATGTTTTTTGCACTGTCTATTGGGCAATTTTATTGTTAAACAACCTAATGAATCTATATTGTATATTTTATACATGGTAAATATATTAAAAACGTCATTGAAAATGTTGGAAGTATCCTTTTGTATTTTTTAGACTTTCTAACTCACCAATAAATTTGTGTGTGCTCCAACTATGGTATTTGTTTGTATACACAAGCCATCATCAACATCCCACAGACATAATTCACTTTGAAAAATAATACAAACACAGAATAGAGATCTACAAAACTAATTAACACTGGGGGTAGAGTTTCCAGGGGGTGGAGATGCTAGAGCCCGCAGGGGGGTGTATACTGGTAGAGCCTGCAGTTGGGTGGGGATGCTAGAGCCTGCAGAGGGTGTATATTGGTAGAGCCTGCAGGGGGGTGGGGATGCTAGAGCCTGCAGGGGGGTTTATACTGGTAGAGCCTGCAGGGGGGTGGGGATGCTAGAGCCTACAGGGGGTGTATACTGGTAGAGACTGCAGTTGGGTGGGGATGCTAGAGCCTGCAGGGAGGCGTATACTGGTAGAGCCTGCAGGGGGTGGGATGCTAGAGCCTGCAGGGAGGTGTATACTGGTAGAGCTTGCAGGGGGTGGGATGCTAGAGTCTGCAGGGGGGTGTATATTGGTAGAGCCTGCAGTTGGGTGGGGATGCTAGAGCCTGCAGGGGGTTTATATACTGGTAGAGCCAGCTTGGGGGGGAGGGTGCTGAGGCCTGCAGGGGGAGCCATATTGGTGAGCCTGCAGGGGGTGGGGATGCTAGAGCCTGCAGGGGTTTATACTGGTGGAGCCTGCAGGGGGTGGGGGGTGGGGGTGCTTGGGGAGCCTGCAAGGGGTGTATATTGGTAGAGCCTGCGAGGGGTGGGGATGCTAGAGCCTACAGGGGGGTTTATATTGGTATAGCCTGCAGGGGGTGGGGGCGCTAGAGCCTGCAAGGGGGTGTATATTGGCAGAGCCTGCAGGGGGTGGGGATGCTAGAGCCTGCAGGGGGGTGTATACTGGTAGAGCCTGCAGGGGGGTGGGGATGCTAGAGCCTCTAGGGGGTGTATACTGATAGAGCCTGTAGGGGGGTGGGCCTGGATAGAAGATAGAGCTGGCAGGGGGGTGTATATTGGTAGAGCTTGCAGGATGATGTATATTGGTAGAGCCTGCCATAGAGCTTGCAGGGGGGTGTATAGTGGTAGAATGTGTAAGGGGGGGGGAGTACTGTAATTGTTAATTACCCATTTTCAGCAGCACTGATAACAGCAGACTGGTTCTCCAAGCCAACACAGGCACATGCTAATGCAGAAACCAAATCATTGTGACCAAATATTAGACTCTTTGCAATGACCTACATACACAATTGAAAATTTCGGCAGTTACATACAGCATTGAAGCTATAATTAAGCCAATAAAGGAACTATACACCTAAACGCTGTCTAGCTACGCTACCCATTCATTTTCCTTGTCATTTTAATGCACGTCAAGAGCCCTAGGTTGAGGTTTTCATTTTCTAAAACAAAGTGAAATTTATATGTACTATTGTTTGACATATATAGACTGTATTGCATTTTATTGTTCAAAGACCGATGAATAGCTACAGGTGAATACCAGCATATTATTTCATAACTGATCAATTGATTTGTAAGAGGTTTCTTTACCTCTACTTCGCCTCCATCCAAATGTCTGATATCCCAGACTCCTAGCTGACCGGATTTCGACCCAGTTATGACGGTTTTTTGATCATAAGTTACCAAAATACAAGTCACCACATGTTTGGGAGGAGTGCTGCCCCAGAATACCAACGGAACGACCGCAGACGTTGACATTATAGCGAGAAAAAAGCGAAATTTTGAGCTTCACTAAGTCACAGCCATGTTTTTCTTTAATTTACCACCGGAAGTACGGATCCTTCCATGGAATCTTTCCCCGGTATCTTTTTTCGTATTTTTCTCCGCTGAAGGCTAAAACAATATCTTTGTTTCACTATGCGAAAATTACACAAAAGATACTGTATTATACTGTATTATTATACCCATTTAAAAGAGAAAAGACCTACAGTATAAATGTACTGATGTTGTATTACATATTTTAATATCTTACTCGTGTTAATTTTTAATATTATTAATTTGCACAAGCCGGCCAAGGGCTAATCTCCGGTACCATTTAGACATACGGGAAAAATACCATTTAATTCTGGCAAGAACTTCGTCTGTTTCGTTTTGTAAATATGGCTTTTATATTGTCTTTTGTAATCGCGATTGCTCTGGCATTTCATCAGGTGAATATATATGTTTCAGCGCATAGAAATTACTAGGATTTCTTTTGGTATAATCTTTTTTTAATATTATTGCATACGTGTTTATTTGAAGGCATGAAGCTTTGTATTTCGACTGTATTTCCTGTTTTAGGTCGACGGAGAATATGCTGTTTTGCGAGCGAGCACAAACTCGGAATCTAAAGATTTTTGTGTGACTTATTACCCATTATGGCACGACCTTCCTACAGAATTATCCGCTGCAGTATGTATCTAGAGTGTTTAATTTTACTGTAACTGCTCTGTCATTTTTTAAGTGTTTTATAATTCCCAATTTACATTTCAGACAATATATAAATATTTTCATGGCTAATTCATAGCAAATTTCTTACATCTATATTTACTATACATTAATGTATGTTGTAGTAAGTTGATATGATGCCTAAACATAAGATTTCTGAAATTGGTTATTTGACATATTAAAAAAGAGAATTATTCTTGATTCTTGATTCTCGCTAGGTGATGAATAAATTATGACGTTGTAGTTGGTCACTGTGATTGGGTATATGTGTTGCAATTTTTCCATATTGTTAATTTGATACAATTTGTTATTTAACCAGACTGCAAAGTTGGGTAGTTTTCAATGAGATCTCAAGATTTTATAGAACTTGAAAATTGTTTATACAAATTACTTCCTGTTACCTAGTTATGCAGTCTGGTTTGTTGAAAAGCTCTTTTATGTTGTTAGTAGGCATATCAATACACAAAGGGGCCCCGTTTTCATGTAAGTGACTTCAGTTAAACTGAACATCTCAAACACGAAAACAAGGCTCTATTATAGCCAAAGTGACAGGCTTTCCACATGGTTCTATTGGCCTGTCGGGTGTGGCAAAAATGCCCTTTTACAGTCAGCTTTCAAGAACCTTTCCACATCTGTAATTTGTTCTGTAGTACTGTAGCAGTTACAGAATTATGGGCAAATATGACTTAATCAAATTTAAATTTCTCAACGTCCATGCATGTTTAGCATGCAGTGAATCTAATGAAAAATACATGTCACAAATTGTCATATAATATACAAACTAAATTTTATCACCATATTTGCTCATAATATGGTAACTGCTAAGTGGTAAAACATAGGGGTGCACCGGAACCAGTTTTTTAAGTTCCGGCCGGAACCGGATCCGACCGGAACTGGAAAAAATTTCCGGCCGGAACCGGAACTAATATATTAAGCCATATATAGTCATATGTTACTTTGTCCGCTGCCAGACAGGCAGACACTTCAAGTCATCAAGGAGAGAGCTCGCAAATGTTAGAATAAAAAGATTGACAAACGTTAAACGTCATAATGAAGTGTTATAGTGTATATTTCCCTTGCGTAGTCCAAATTTCTTCCTACTGTGAACTTTTGTTAGACACAAAAACGTTTGATATTCTATCTCTCTGAAACAGACAGAGTTCCGGTTCCGGCCATGCTTTTTTTACTAGTTCCAGTCGGAACCGGACCTCTAAAAAATCGGGGTTCCTGCCGGAACTAACCGGCCGGAACCGAGTTCCGGTGCACCCCTAGTAAAACAGAACAAGGTATACATACAGAACAAATTATATGAGAAGGTTGGTGTATTTTGACTGTACTGTAACACCATTGCAGACATTTAGTGTCAGGTTTGCTGCATTTACAGTAACATTTTACATATGTAAGGAAAGGTCCTTTGTTTGAAAGTCAACAGCATGAATTAACTTCCAGTGCTACTAACTTCAAGGGTCTACTAACCTCTGTATGACCAGTAGAGGTGTGCAATGATCATTTATGTATGGATAATCTTGCTTTTTAGCCCCAGTATGAATATCAACTGGTACCCATTGAAGACTTATGTTCAAATGAGGATGACGATTATTCAAACGATTATTCAAACGAAGCTGTGTTTTCATGGGAGAAAAGTCTACCAAATTGCACATTTACTGATAGAGTTGTGAATGCTCAAAGCAGGAATGCCACAGAGTTGGTTATTGTAAACACCAACGATCAGTTGGTATGTTTACGCAGAAGTAATTTTTGCCATTAAGACCATAGTAAAGTAACAAGTGTTCATTGGCCATGAATACTGAAATGAGTTATATAAGCCCCGTTACACTACACTCAATTTTTGGGACGGCACGGATAAAATTGGTACCCGTACCACTTTTTTGGTTCTTGGACTACCTATTTAGGTAGCTATTTAGGTAGTCCAAGAACCAAAAAGTGGTACGGTACCAAAAATTGAGCATAGTGTAAACGGGGCTTAGCTAAATAGGTAGTCCAAGAACCAAAAAAGTGGTACGGGTACCGATTTTATCCGTGCCGTACCAAGAATTGAGCGTAGTGTAAACGAGGCTATAATGTAAATATTTCCTTTTTTCTAGTTTATTGCAGTAGCATCATCACCTGCAGATTATAATATGTCCAAAATCCCTTTGGCCGTCATGACGAAATCTGATTTCCAGACCATGCAGGTAGCTCATTGTAGAACCAGTCACAAAATCACTAAAGCTGAATATTTGAAGGCTATTAACCCACTGAGCTTCAATGCACCGCACTTCATTATTTTACACTAACACCAGATAATCTTGCTTGTGAAATAATGGGTTATAATCAAACTATATGCCAACCCATTGAGCTACAATGAAAGATGATTTTACTTGTCAAGGGGAGAGTCTTGTAGATTAACCCATTGAGCACTAGCACTTTCCCTTTGACAAGTAATATTGTCTGGCATTAGACAGAGTAAAATAATAAACCAGGGTACAATGCAATGTAATGGATTAAACCAAATAATTAGTTTATTTCTTGGCATCTGTTTATTATTGTCATGTTGCTAGTCATCTTAAATGCCTTCATGATCTTCTTACAGGCACTTGGTAAATTTGCATTTGTTCAGTTGTATGTGCCGCCAATTGCTGCAATAGATACAAATCTTGTAGTGATATGGTTATTGGCTGTGGGTACCATCGTTATTGGTGCTTATTGGAGTGGTGTCATTGCTAATGAACAAAGGTGTGTGTGCATTGTTGAGCATGTTAAATTGTGTTTTTAACACTGGCATTACTAGTTGTCACCTGTCAGCAAATGGCTACTAATTTTCTGATATTTAAATTTTAAATGCTTATTCTTAAAATTACTTTATATTTTGAATTCAACAGCATTGACAATTTTAACCCATTGAGCCCCAATGCGTCCCAGTGTGCCCTACATATTTTTTTACTTGTTTAACGCCAGATGTTTTACTCGTCAATGTGGAAGCTCCATAGATTAATGGGTTAACAAAAAATTTGACAATGTCTCTAATTAACCCACTGAGCCGCAATGCGCCCTACTTTTTTTTTACTTGTCTAATGGCTGGCGATTTTACTCGTCAATGGGGAAGCTCTGCAGCTTAATGGGTTAACCATTTCTTCTGGGTCCAGTTTTTCTCCCTCATTGAAAGCTAACCCTTAGGTCTTTGCTTTCGAGCAAGTGTATCGTGTGCCTCTGGCTTGAGTGAATTGGGCAACAATATCCTGAGTATGTAAAACAGCATTAATTACTGTAACTCATTATCAATGTCCACTGTTTTGCATGTATGTGAAGAGAGAAGAGTGCAGAAAATAAAGCCTCGTCTGGCAGCAGTTCAGAAGAAGAAGAAGCAGCTATGCAGATCACCCCCCTGATGGTTGTGATATTTGTAGTATTCATCTGTCTCTTTCTCCTCTTGGTCTACTATTTGTATAAATATGTTGTCTACATTATCATTGGAGTGTTTGCCATCGCTTCTGCATCGGGAATGTTCGAATGCCTCAATGCCTTGGCTCTTAAACTACCATTTTGTAAGTTTTTTGATATGTTTTAGTTGTCACTTTATGTACACTATCCTTGGGATCTCCGAGTTACAACAATTTTTCTATCCCTTCACTGGAAACCTGAAAAAATCTACCAATGTTTGATATTTAACCCACAGCCATGGGCATATTCTACAGCATTCGAATTTCTACCTAACACCAAAAGATTTAACACATCATTGTCTTTTGATGAAGGAGTGAGATAACATGGCAATATACATCTAATATTCATTTATAAAATCTCTTACTAGGTACATGCCGAGTACGCGTGCCTTCTTTCATTAATCGATCAGGAGATGTTCTGGTCAAATCAGTAATTGTACTGGCATTTTCACTTGGTATCGCCATTTGGTGGGTCATCGTACGCAATGAAAGGTAAACCAAAGTGTGTAAGATTTGAGCGTAAAATATTGCAGTTACCCACACAATGTATCCACACTGATATAGAATTGTCAATATTGTGATTTAAGCAAGTAAGAGGCTGTTTATATGGTCCCGCTTACCCGGGATTCAATGAAGTGCGACATATTTTGAGCAATTGAAATAAGTCGCACTTCATGATTTAACAAAATTGCTTGTTACAAATTGTATAAAATTCCATGTTTTAGACAAAAAGCAAATGTTGTTGAATGTTATTAATCGTCTTTTTCCACTACATAACTTCTGGCGCGTTCAGAGTTTCGTTTAAGCAATATTTAAAGTTATCTAACTTTTGTTTAGGCTGAAACACGTATTTCAATTGCTCAAAATACGTCACACTTCATTGAATCCCGGGTAAGCGGGACCATATAAACACCCGCTAAATATCACTTCTTCTCTATTCCTGTAGTTATGGATGGGTACTTCAAGACATTCTCGGGGTGTTATTCTGTATATCATTATTAAAGAACTTACGTCTGCCTAGTCTGAAGATCTGTTCCCTGCTGTTAATCTTACTTCTTATTTATGATGTCTTCTTCGTGTTCATTACACCATTGTTCTCTGCTGGTCACAACAGCGTCATGGTTGACGTTGCTACAGGTAGAGAAATACAGTAAATAGTTCATAATTCTTTTTTCAAAATCATGCAAACCTTTATCATTTAATCCGTGACAAACTGCAAAGAAAGAAGGTATTACCCATACTTCCCTGCAACTTATTCAATATATAGTTAATTAAATACGCCTTCGCCCATTTAGTACTACTAAATTGTAAATTTCGACATACTAAAAGTCTAAAACGCTGTTTTCGGACTATCAGAATTCTGTCAAATCGTCCCCAAAGTCCAGGAAATGGCATTTCGGAGACTCTAAATTTAAAAATTTCCTCGGGCCTTCGGCCCTGGCTTTCAGCCCCAAATCGAAAAGAGCTTCCCACGGCCCTGGTAGATCTTATTTAAATTAGGAAATGTTCTTGGATCGGTCGGTCAGTTATTTGGATTGTCAAACCAGCGCTTGTGGTGCCGTGTGGTCACTACGCTTGCCTCACCAATGAATGTGAAACCAGTCGATAAACAATTTCATTTTTTTATTCCAGGTGAAGGACATAAAGAACAGCTTCCTATGGTCCTCAAAGTACCGCGAATCATTCGCTCTGCTTTATTAATATGCGAAAGAAGAGACTATTCACTCTTAGGCTTTGGAGATATATTAGTGCCAGGTAGAAAAAAATCAATGTGATTTGTGAAAGTTGAAACTCTGACAATATATCTTCAATAAACGACCAACTCTTCAATATGCCTAATTGCCTAACACGTAGTTACTCATATAACTTAAATGCTTGATTATACCTTCGGTCCGTTCTATGGAATAGTGGTAACTAAGCATGTCAGCTATCCAAAAACGTGCATTATTGGATGTCAAAAGGCATAAGCATGCATTAAATGATCGATTAGGTCTGTGGCCTGTGCGATTCTTGCTTCTGGCTCAATGTCATTATTTTTTCTGTTTAGGTTTATTCGTGTCATTCTGTCATTCTTTTGACCGAATGGCAAAGACTCCATACCGTATTTACTACGTTGCCAGTTCCATTGGTATGTTCTGTAATCCATTTTGATGTGGTATGGTGTGACATATCATATGGTGTGATATGGTATGGTATGGTGTGACATATGACATGGTATGGTGTGACATATGATATGGTGTGGTATGGTATTGTATGGTATGACATATGGTATGATATGGTGTGACATGATATGGTGTGGTATGGTATTGTATGGTATGGTGTGACATATGGTATGATATGGTGTGGTATGGTATTGTATTGTATGGTATGGTGTGACATATTGTATGGTATGGTGTGACATATGGTATGGTGTGACATATGGTATGGTATGGTATTGTATGGTATGGTGTGACATATGACATGGTATGGTGTGACATACTTATGATATGGTGTGGCATATGATATGGTGTGACATATGATATGGTGTGTATGGTATGGTGTGACCATGGTGTGGTATGGTATGTGGTATGGTATGATATGGTATGGTATGATGTGGTATAATATGATGATGTGATATGGTATGGTAATTTCGTATTACTAAATATTAACTATTTCCTCCCCTGTAGCATATGGCGTTGGTCTTATCATAACATTTGCTGCGTTGTATTTAATGAAAGAAGGTCAACCTGCTCTGGTGTACCTCGTACCGTCAACATTGCTCACTGTTATAGTCATTAGTCTAATAAGAAAGGAGTTCTGTGATCTATGGCATGGAACATATGTAAGCTTATTCAACTCTTCATATGCTAACTCAATCATATATTGTCAAGTTGTAAACTCTCTTTTCAGACTTTGTTGTTTGATTTCGAAATATCATTCTCGTGATTCGCTGCTCGAATTTTTGTTTTCCATCCTTTTCTCATTTTCTTCTTTTCTCTACTCTAGCTCTGTAATGCATGATGCATCCGATTCCACCTCATCTCTTATTAAGTGTCAATACCATCGCAGCCTTGCTTGATCTTTTCATTCCTCGTCTTTTCCTCCATCTTATCCAAAATGTACTTTACTTATTTCAGCGTTTCAGCCATCCGACGATTCAACCATTAGTGCAAAGCGATAATGAAGAAAATTGCGAGTACGACAGAGACAACGACACGGGCAGCACGGGTAATGTGAACAATGAGAGTAGAAGTAGTGAAAAAGAAAGATTAATTAACTAAGCGTTGTGGGTATGAAAACTATACACTCCAATTGTGTACGAAATGTGGTCTTTGATACATAAGTCGTTTAAGTCTGGGGGTGGTTGTATAAAGACCATTTCCTTTAGTTAGTTACGTTGGCGGCCTAAAAATAGTTATGCTGTATGCCATTTGGTATGATGATCTGGAAACTGAACAAAAGTCATTTTGTTATGTTTCTGTCTTAATAGAGACCTTACGTTGTACAATGAGATTCATAATATTTAAGGGGAAAAATGAAAAATTAATATCCCACGGGAGTTTGTGATGTCTCCACGGTCTGTTTACAACGGGAAACTACAGACTTTTACGTCTTGGATAAAACGCCTGCATTTGAAGACGCGAGAAGTGATATACTCAGCAAATTAGCTCAGTACTGCAGTGAAACTTTCTCAACAATAAAGCCACTATTTCAAGCTAACCAAACAGTATTGACACGCTCAATAATAGTCTACAAACTTTCTTTACAATCGTTTATTTGAATGATTTTATTCTGGCCGTTGCGTTGCCGTCCTACATCGTAAGATCTCTATTTTGTGCACGATCACGGAGATTTTGCCCATTGTATTTTCGTATAATAACGTCATCGTCCAATACTAATTAATAGTGATAGCTGAGATGAAACGTGCAACCACGATGAGTAAGCTTTTATAAAGTTGAGACAAAGTATTTGTGTACGGTGAGGTACATTTCAACATCAAACAAACGCCTTCAGTGTTGTGTCTTTGACGTGTGCCGGGTTTCCAAACCATGATATCTTCGCAGACTCTGGTTTGGCCACGCATTAGCATGTCAAAGTGACCGATGTAATATAGCGTCGATATGTCTGGGGATGGTTGTGAACACAATGGGATTGCACGCTGTTTTGATCTGGGGCGGGTTGTTCAAAGCTTGGTTATAGCTGCCGGTTCTTGAACAACCGACCCCTGTGGATTAATCTATAAACAATATATATGCATAATTTCAAACTATGTGTTAAATATGAAAATTTTATACAATAATACTACCGGTAACATGGTAGTAACTTAATTAACTAAATATTTCAAAAAGTGACATATGTGATGATATAGCTTTACATGTAAAAATTGTGAAAATCTCAATAAAAAATTTGACGTCAGTTTTTTCGCCTACGAACTGTATTATTTTAACATAACCCTGACGTTCACGTGCGGAAAATCTAGGAAACGTCATCGTCCAAAACGTTTGTTGCTCGACTTTCCCCTGTCGTGACTGGCATACAATTGGGAAACTTCCTGTGGCCCACACTACCAGCTTCTTATGGTAGCCGTTGTGTAGCCACTTGTGGTTGCATAAGGAATGCTTTATTATCTGAAACTAAGGCGTTTTAGTTATATAAATGGTCTGTGAAACATGTATCCCAATTGTAGGTTTCCTGTGTGGGTAACATCCAATAATAAACTGTCCTTGTTTTGGACGTAACTACCCGAAATAGTCAAAGAAACTTCAACGTTTGGAAGTTACTTAGCACCCAAAACCAACCACTTATAGTCATAGATGTGATATAGTGCTGCTAACTTCATCAAACGGGAATGCGGAGTCGAGAAGCGAGAGTTTGCATCAGAGTTTTCTCAACTCTCATGCCCCGGTCAAACGAGAACAAGAATTGCATGAGAGTTGATAAGCGAGAGTTTGCATCAGAGTTTTCTCAACTCTCATGCCCCAGTCAAACGAGAACAAGAGTTGCATGAGAGTTGATGAGAGATGGATAAAACGGCGAAAACTCGTCAACTCTCATCAAAATTTGAACTAGTTCAAAGTTCATGGGAGTCGATGACAGTTGGCCGAGAATTTAGTCGAAGTTTTCTTGGCCATTCTCAGGGGGTTACCACCAAAACAATGTCAATGCCAATTGTGAATTGATTATGGCTGTACATTAAATTACAAGCCATGCACGTGTCTGACTGCTCAAAGTGGTCTTTACGACCAGACTGCTCTCTTCCACGCAAAGAAAGAAAATAAACATCCCTTTCCTGTTCTTATGAAGTGTTCCTGAAACGTTGTTTCCCTTCACCTTAAATGGCATTTTAATGAATTTTAACTCTCCTAATTTAATTTCTTTTCCTAATCGCTCAACTCTTCGTGGTGAATGTAAAGAGTGAAATATAATCTGGGAGAAATCAATCCCGGACGCAACTGGTTGAGAACATCTCTGTCGACCATCTATACCAATTTGCATGTCCCTAATTTCCATGTTAAATCATGTTGCGCATCTTATTGTAAGACCCCGCTCCGCCAACTCAATGCCCAGCTTGTGTCATGGTAAATTACCAAAAGTTGAGGAAAGGGGGTCACGAAATGTGGTTGGATCGCTGTGTTACATGACGTACCTCATCAAACAATTACGTAATCGCAGGTGGTCCATCATTTAAATTTCCTGAGGGCTTTATAGCGAAGTAAACAAAGGCTCTCGACAGAAACCTTATAAGAAAGCCGCATATTTTTGATCAGGAACGAAACGGCGGTTTGCCTGTGGTCACACGTTTGATTTTATTCACCCGTATGGCTCGGGAGCGAAACGAAAGGCCTGGTTTATTCGCGAGAGTACTGATATGGATGCATTTTCGCGAAGCGAGAACGACACAGGTAAGAAAGACTAAACAATCTGGTTTATTCTACAAATTCACTTTGCTTTTATAAAAGAAACATATTAATTTCGTTCGGCCCTATTATCTTTCAATGGCTAACCGCTGGGAATTTAATGGAACACACCATTAAAGACCATCAAAATATGTTTTTCAAACAATTATAGTTATTTTTATTCTCAGCGTATAAAGCAGAAATCTTTGCCACATAATATTGTCGAACGTTTCAACACAATTAATAGAACGCCTTGTTTGTCGTTCGACCTGTTATCTCATGATTGTCTTGTGATTTATATGCTGTTTATTAGAAAGGTCAAAAAGTGTCTGAAAATTTGTCTGGCGGCCACAGAGACTACAAGAATCCTCTCAAATTTGCGCTTTCTTGTAGTAAAATACAACATATAATAGGCTTTATAATATTTAGCAACATACGAGCAATCAGCAACATGGGAGAACAATATTTCACGAGTATATATGAAATCTGACGTATTCAAATCATCGCTGGAATTTCACACGAGGTAGCAACAGGGGTTGTTTTTAGAAGGGCAGAAGAGTTCAAGATGCACTTAGCACTATTAAATCTGATAACTTAAGTATAAATAGAAACTGTATTTACTGTAAACTGAAAAGTGATGTATGTAACTAAATATCTCATTTTAACTTTATAAATAAACATGATTAATCAAAACCCTAGTGCTAGATATTTACTTTGCTCTATTTAATTCCTAGCTTTGTGAGAAAGAAAATAATGATGTGTAATTTGTGTAGATCAGCTGGCACTATTAAGAGGTTTTGCAATTTTTCATTGAATATGACAATCATTCCATTGAAATCTACTTGTATTATCCAATAGCATCTGTTTTCCAAAAGTGTTTCTGTAAATCTGCTTTAGATCCATATTCACACAGCAAGGATGCCATTGGCCCACTAGGATACTGGGAGATTTCCCACTGGACGTTGGTGGTCCTTTACTATTTGCTTGAGAGCCAAAGAAGTGTGTCCTATGGAACCTTTAATATTCTGTGCTAACAAATTAAAATTTGACTGAGAACGTTTCAAAAACTTTTCCTCAATTTACAGATTTTGGTGTACGTAGAACAATGTGCCTACAAACCCTCTCACAGTTAGTTTTGATTGTGTATCTAAAGGTTGAAAGGGTTGTTACTGTATCTCTATTTTTATACTGAAGCCTTACCTAGCCCGAAAGAAACTTTCAATCAGTATCCTTTCAATCGTAACAACCAAGTAATGCAGCTATGTTGTTCACCAAGATTAGAACGCCATTGCATTTATAATGACGAGCATTATTAAATTCCATGCAAATTCGTCTGTACAATTTTAAATCAAGCCTCATTTGAGTGGGTCTGGCTAAATAAACCTTTTCTTTTTCTGGTTGTCTTGGCACCAGACTTTGCAATATCTTTAAAGGGGAAGTCAAGTCCGTAATGTAAACAAACGGTTTGTTTACATTTTGAACTGCTGTATTTTTTAAAATATGATGTACTGTCTGAATATCTAACACCATTTTGGTTCGTTATGCTTCTACATGAATATGAAATAGAGTTTGTGTTCAGAAAAATTCGAAACATTCAAAATTTGGGCAATGTTTACCTCAGAGGGCCCTCTATTGTTATGCGCAGAACCGATGCGCAGAACGGACTTGACTTCCCCTTTAAAC